TATTTATTTTTAGAAAGAGAGTGAGTGAGTAAGCAGGAATAAGAGGGAGAGAGAAGGGGCGCCTGGGTGGCTCAGTTGGTTAAGCGGCTGCCTTCACCTCAGGTCATGATCCCAGGGCCTGGGATCGAGCCCCACGTCCGGCTCCCTGCTCAGTGGAGAGCCTGCTTCTCCCTCTCCCTCTGCCTGCCGCTCTGCCTCCTTGTGCTTTATCTCCCTCTTTCAAATAAATAAATAAAATCTTAAAAAAAAAAAAAAAAAAAAAAGGAGGGAGAGAAAAGCTGAAGCAGACTCGGCACTGACGGCAGAGCCCAATATGGGGTTCTATCCCATGACAGCAAGATCATGACCTCAGCCAAAACCAAGAGTCAAACGCTTAACCAACTGAGCCCAATTTTGTTGTTTGTGTGTAGAAAAGAGCCCAAATAAGAGCCCAAATATCAGTGTTGTTTTGTAAATTCTGGTATGTTCATGGTCATTATTTCCATAGCAATGAATGTAAAATATAACTTAATAAGTGATGTATGTTAATAGTTTTATAATTCAGCCCCAAACTTGAGTCAGAGATTAAAATAACTGCATTCAAAAGACAGTAGGTAAGAGAGTGAAAAAACAACCACTGAATGAGAGAAAACCATTTGCAAGTTATGGATCTGATAAGGGACTCATATCCAGAATACATAAAGAACACCTGTAACTCAATTAATAAAAAGACAACCCAATTTGAAAATGGGTAAGGATCAGGGCGCCCAGGTAGCTAAGTCGGTTAAGTGTCCAACTCTTGATCCCAGCTCAGGTCTTGATCTCAGGATGGTGAGTTCAAGCTCTGCACTGGGCTTCAGGCTGGGTGTGGAGCCTACTTTAAAAAAAAGGGGGGGGGGGATCTGAACATACATTTCTCCAAAGACAACATACAAATAGCCAATAAGCACATGAAAATGTGCTCAACATTCTTAGCTAACAGGGAAATGCAAATAAAATTCACAATCATACACCAATTTATACCCAATAGGGTGGCTATAATCTAAAAGACAGATAATACAAGTCTTGGCAGAGATGTAGAAAAATTGGATCCTCATACACTGCTCGTAGGAATGTATGATAGTCACTGTGGAAAACAGTCTGGCAGTTCTTCAAAAGGTTAAACACAGAGTTCCTCTATGACCTAGCAATTCTACCCATAGGTATATTTCCAAAAAATATGAAAACACAGCCACACAAAAACTTGTATGCAAATGTTCATAGCACTACTATTCATAATAGCAAAACATGGAAACAACCCAAATGTCTATCAACTGATGAATAAAAAAATTCATATAATGGATTATTGTTTGACCATAAAAAGGAATGAAGTACTGGGGCGCCTGAGTAGCACAGTCTGGTAAGCGTCAGATTCCTGGTCTTGGCTCAGGTTGTGATCTCAAGGTCATGAGATCCAGCCCGGTATCGGGCTCCATACTCAGCTGGGAGTCTGCTTAAGACTGTCTCTCTCTCTCCCTCTGCCCCTCCCATCCACACTCTCTCTCTAAAATAAATAAATCTTAAAAAGAAAAAAAAAGGAATGAAGTACTGATAAATGCTACAACATGGATGAGCCTGGAAAACATGCTAACCAAAGAAAGTCAATCACAAAAGATGTCATACTGCATGCTTCCATTTAATGAAATGCTAAGAATAGGCAAATCTATAGAGACAAAGTAAATTAATGGTTGCTTAGGGCTGGGGAAGGTGGAAGGGGTTGTGGGATGATGGCTAAAAGGCAGTTTCTTTTTGGGTGATGAAAACATTCTAAAATTGTGGTGGCAGACTCACAACTATATGATACACTAAAAACCAATGAACTGTATGCTTTAAGTAAGTGGATTATGTGATATGTTAATTATATCTCAATAAAGCTGTTACAGGGTGCCTAGGTGGCGCAGCTGGTTAAGCATCTGCCTTCAGGTCAGGTCATGATCCCAGGGTCCCGGGATCGAGGCCCACACAGGGCTCCCTGCTCAGCGGGAGTCTGCTTCTCCCTCTACCCCTTCCCCCCTGCTCCTGATCTCTCTCTCTCTCTCTCTCTGTCTCGAATAAATAAAATCTTAAAAAAAAAAAAAAAAATTTTTTTAAAGCTGTTACAAAACAACAAAATCCTCACGTTTTTGGTTACACTCTATTGCATTTCTCAGGGAAATTATAGCTACTTTAGTCTTCATAAAGGCCTTGGGGTATATCCCTCTAAACAGAAATTCTCTTTTTCTTATCCCCACTCCAGAAATTCTCTTTCTTTAAAGGAGGCAAAAACAAGGAAGGTAGAACAAGAAAGGAAATCTTCAAAACTAAATGATTAACCATGTGTGACATTATCATTTTACCTACTCATTCTTATATTTCGAACACTAATTTTTCCTACTAGTGTCACATTTTTGTCTTCTTTAAACATTTCAAGAAACTAAAGAATGCCAAGCTTAATATAAAATGTTCAACTGATTTTATTCATCTACTTCCTTATTTCAAGTTTGATCAATTTGTTTTATAAACACTTATTTTGCAGAGATAATGTGAGGATTCATGATATCACATAAGATGGCTAAAACAATCCCTGATATTCAGTAAATTATTCTCATTATCATTATGCTACAGGTAACGCAGGATCCTAAAGCTGAGGAGCAAAACTGCAGAGGTGGGGGTGGGAGGACACAAAGACTGTGCCCTACAAAGGTACAGTTATGTCAAGGAAAAGAAACTTCTGGCAGATAATCCAAGACCAAACAAAACTGCAGCAGCAGCATGATCATCACCACCACTACTTCCACCATCACCATCATCACCCAACACCACACTCCTCCTAAAACATCTATTTATATGCCTTTAATTTTTTCTAATTATGAAGCACTTAAATGTATGGAAATATCCCCAAAACCAGTAAATAGCACATCTTATCATTTTCCCACGTGTATCAAATTTTTCAAAAATGTATGAAATATAAGATAACACGGATCCATTTTCACTTCCTCTCTCCCTTATGGTAACCACTATCTTGCAATATGAAGTTAATCATCACTATGCATATTTTAACTGTAACTACAGGTATCTGTGAAAATAGAATATTGTTTTTGCATGTTTTCAAACTTTACCAAATGGCACCTTGCTTTCTTAGCTCAACATTTTGCTTGTTTGTTGTTTTTTAATTCAGTCATGTTGTTTCATGACAACTCTTGGTCAGCATTATATTCTATGAATATTACAATATATTTGTCCATACTCCCAACTAATGAGATGTTTAAACGGTTTCTAATTTTGTTGCTAAGAAGGTGCAATAAATATAATTTCTTGAGCACAGGTACTAGTTTCTAGGATACATTCCTAGAAGGAGAACTGCTAGGTCAAAGACTATGTACCTTCAACTTCATTAGAGGTCACTAAGAGTGTTCCATTTTTCTTCTCATCCTCACCGATTCTTGGTATTGTCATACTTTTTTACTTTTGCAAACTGAAGGGTATAAACTGGTACCTCATTGGTTTATTTTTTCCTGATTATTAAGTATCATTTATTGGCCTTTCAGGTTTTTTCTCATGTGAAATGCCTTTAACAGCATTGCTATTTTTCTATTGATTTGTAGTAGTTCTTAAGATAGTCTGGGTACCAATCCTTTATTGATTCTATGTGTTTCTAAAATTCCCTCCACCCCAAAGTATAAGCCTTTTGCTTATTTCGAAATCTAGTAAAGTAGAGGAGGAGCAAAGACAATTTCTGCCTTTTCAAAGTTCACAGCTATTTTCCAGACCTTTATACCTAGGCTTCTCAAACCCTCTGACCACTCACAGAAGATGAATTCCTCCTTGAGTGCCAATACACACACACTTTATACATGAACTGAAAAACAGGACTCTAAGTCAATTTCTCCTAAGAGATTAACCACAAGCAAATACACCAGCACAGCTCTCCATTCCCTATAGCCAACGCCACATTTTAGCTCTCATATTAATACATCATAGAGATTTCATATGGGTCAGTAAACAAGCATCTATTTTGATTAATAACAGTTGTTAAAACCCTTAATTAATAAATAACCATCATATCGATACATCAGGATGTCTGAAACAATAACTACAAGTGCCCATTCTCTCTCCCCAATGAACTGAAGAATTAAGGTGCAAACCCAGACTCTAAGCAAATGAAATTTTTTTTATTTTTAGTCACACTAACATACAATCAGTTCTTACTGATACAATTGCTCTGCAGAAGTGAAATGATTCTGAATATTTTAGTGAGGGCACATACTGCTCTTAAAAGTTAACTTCATTTACAGGAGCGCTAATGTTTTGCAAAACAAGCACGCTGCCCTAGAAGTATATAATCACTCAGCAAGAAAGGACTTTGGATCACTCAATCGAACTTCATTTTGAGGTGAGGCAACTGCAATCCAGACATTAATAAATTCGCCGAATCCTAGTCCTCTAAAATCTACAAATTCAGGGTTCTTCCACTGCACCATGCATGGATGCAATTTTAGATTCCCCAATTCCAAAACTCTGATTCCGCTATTAATTTTACAAGATTGAGTTGATGTATTATAGAAATGATGGAATTAACTCCCATGCCCACACCAGTCTTTTTTTTTTCCTTTCCACTTCCCTTTTCCACCCCTATCCTCCATTATGATCTACAGAATGTAAAAAAATACCTGACTGCCTGAATTTCTGGCCCTCATCAGGGACAGAGTCCTGAGCCCCTGACTACTGCCTCTGTGTTAAGTCACAAGGGTTTTTTATTTTTGTTTTTGTTGTTGTTTTTAATCCTTCAGTCCCTATGCAGTAAGACCTACTAAGCGCAGATTCTGCGGGAAGCGCGGTGGATGCCGCTCGTCCCAGCCCGTGGACCACCGACGCCAGGGAGCCGGGGGCGCCGGGTAGGGCGGTGCCGGGCTGCAAGGAGCTGGGGTCGCTGGGGGAATGGGGCTGGCAGGGAGGGGGGCCCGGCGGCACCAGGGAACAGGCCGGGTGGCGGGGCGACTCACCTTTACGCAGCTCCCGCTCCCACACGGTGACGATGGGCCGCGAGTGCTTGCGGTGGTGGATGAGCCACAGGGACAAGGTCTGCACGCTCTGCTGCGAGTTGCTCAACTCCGACAGCTTCTTCTCCAGCGCCGCCTCAGAGAAGGCTGACATCCCTCCGATACCGCGTTCACGCCGTCCCACGCGGTGGGGCTAAGGGGAGGAGAGTTTAGCCGCCCGCGCCGCGGCCTCGCCCCCTCACCCCACCCTTCCCCACGCCTTCACCACCGCCGCCGCCACATCCGAGACCGGCCGCAAACCAGCAAGATGGCGTCTGGCCGGCAGTGACGTCAGGGCCCATCCACGCCCCGCCCTCGGAAGAGGCGAGGCCAAGCGGCAGGACCTCGGAGCGAAAGGACGGGGCCAGAACTGGCGCTCGGGAGGCACACGGGGGCGTGCCGCCTGGGTTTTGGCCGGGGGAGGGCTGGGGTTTGCCCAGCACGGACGCCTTCTAGGGTAAAACTATCTGCTGAAAAAGGAGTGATTAAAAATCTCTACACTGGCTAAAAAAAAAAAACTCTCTACACTGGCTAAAAAAAAAAAAACTCTCTACACTGGCTAAAAAAAAAAAAACTCTCTACACTGGCTAAAAAAAAAAAACTCTCTACACTGGCGTGTAAATTGGTACAGCCAATTTGGAAGACTATTTGGCGTGATATATTACATTTAGAATTGCACCTTCCCTATGACCCTGCAATTTGGCTAATTGCCATCAGTGCTAGGGAAACAGCAGCATGTTTGCACAAGAAGCTGTATGCTAGCTGTTCGGTCTGGCTCACTAACCCTAAGAGTTGGGACATTCACGGAAGGTAAATGGCAAGATTAATTGTGATACTGCATATTATAGAATATATGTAGCAGTTTAAAAGATTAATAAATCCAGTGGTGGATTGGAGGGTTTTTTTAAGTTTCAGAGTGAAAAATACAGTATAACATTCGTTTTATGAAAGTATATATTGGGGGGCACCTGGGTGGCTCAGTCGGTTGAGCCTCAGACTCTTAATTTCGGCTCAGGGTTGTGGGATCCAGCCACCCCACTGGGCTCCCTGCTTACTGAGGAGTCGGCTTGGGATTCTTTTTCTCCCTCTCCCTCTGCCTCTCCCCCTCCCCCTGCTCATGCTCTCTCTTTCTCTCTCTAAATAAATAAATAAAATCTTAAAAAAAATAAAAGTAGGGCGCCTGGGTGGCTCAGTTGGTTAAGCGACTGCCTATGGCTCAGGTCATGATCCTGGAGTCCCGGATCGAGTCCCGCATCGGGCTCCCTGCTCAGCAGGGAGTCTGCTTCTCCCTCTGACCCTCCCCCCTCTCATGTGCTCTCTCTCATTCTCTCTCTCTCTCAAATAAATAAATAAAATCTTTAAAAACAAAAAAAGAATTCATATACAATATATACTTTTATTTTTTTTTATTTTTTATTTTTGGGAGAAGCAGGCTCCCTGCCGAGCAGGGAGCCCGATGCGGGACTCGATCCCGGGACTCCAGGATCATGACCGGAGCCGTAGGCAGTCGCTTAACCAACTGAGCCACCCAGGCGCCCTGTATATGAATTCATAAGTATGTAAATGCATGGCAAAAAGTTTGGAGGAATACACACTACTTTAATAGTGGTGTCAAAGACAGGATCAAAATTGGAGCCCTTAACCTGTGTTTATATTGTTTTTATTTTTTACAAGAATGGGTTCATGTATTTCTTATATAATTAAAAATTAATTTCAGAAATCTCCTAATTAATCCAGCATTTTGGGTGCCTGGCTCATTTGGTTAAGCGTCTGCCTTTGGCTCAGGTCATGATCCTGTGCTGAGATCAAGCCCAGCCTAGGGCTCTCTGCTTGCTGGGGAGGCGGCTTCTCCCTCTGCCCCACCCCCCACCCCCCCATTCTGCTCTCTCTCTCTCTCTCTCTCTAATAAATAAATAAATGATCTTTTAAAAAATCCAACATTTTGACATGTGACAAATGACTTATGATGTATGACAAATCCATACTTTTTTTTTTTTTTTTTAAGATTTTATTTATTTGACAGAGAGATACAGCGAGAGAGGGAACACAAGCCGGGGGAGTGGGAGAGGGAGAAGCAGGCTTCCGCGGAGCGGGGAGCCCGATATGGGGCTCGATCCCAGGACCCTGGGATCATGACCTGAGCTGAAGGCAGATGCTTAACAACTGAGCCACCGAGGCACCCCCAAATCCATACATTTTAACATAGTACTATGAGTTCACAAAGGAAGCAGAAAGGTAGATACTGTCACATTCCAAATATTAATATAAACTTCAAGAAAGATAAATAAAAAACCACAGGAATTCTTACCTTTTGAGAAGCACTGTTCAAGAACTTTGCACCAAGTAGGCAGCAATTATGTTTTTTTGTTTGATTATAATTATAGTTTATCATTCCAATTTTTAATGTTACTATGAGGTTCAGAGGATATCTCAAGAGGTGAAATAACTCTCCTCTCTCTTCCTTTCACTCCAATATCTATTCCTATCTCTTCATGCTTCTTTCCCTATTGTACATCCTTTTGTTTTTCCAAACTGTTTAGTCTAGTTTTTAGCCTGAACTTAGAGTTTAACTTATCTATCTTCTGAGACCTCAATGTATCTTCAACACTATTCCCCTCCGTGAACCCTGCAGCCACCAAAATTGCTAAATTTCACCTAAGATTCCAGTTCTTCACATTCCCTTCTTCTCTACCTCAATTCTACCTGAAATTTAAAGACCACTGTAAATTCCACCTTCTTTTCTTTCCCAACCAGTCCAATGTATGTAAAAAGTTTCTTCCTGTATCATTTACTGATTTGAATGCCTTACACCACTAATCTGTGTTATTTATAATTATATAGTTTAAATATTCTCTCCCCACCTAGATTTTGCTCTCAGTGACTCAGCCAAAGCACCAATGCTTCTGTTTGTTTTAGTTCTCAGTCTGATTTGTCTGCTCCTGCTATGGACTTACACAGTATTCTGTACTTGTGTGTAACACAGCTTTCCACATGCAACAGTTAGATCTATATTTATTGACATTGTTAATTATTGCTGTGTTTTCAAAATATTGGTTGTAACTGCATATGCCCTTAGATAATTTTTTTTAAAAGATTTTATTTGTTTATTTGAGAAAGAGAGAGAGAGAGTGCATGAGCCGGGGGGAGGGGTAGAGGGAGAGGGAGAAGCAGTCTCCCTGCTGAGCAGGGAGCCCAAGGCAGGACTCAATCCCAGAACCCTGAGATCATGACCAGAGTCGAAGGTAGATGCTTAACCCACTGAACCACCCTGGCACCCTTGCCCTTAGATAATTATGACTTATTTTCATAATAGCCTCTGACTATACTTCTTGATTTTGTCTTTCCAAATACAGGTCTCAAATTCAGAATAATGCATTTTTTCCATAACTATCTTTGGCTTTCCTGGAATAACCACTAAGTAACAAAGAGATGTGCTCCTTCAACTTAAAAAAAGCCTATTGCAAGAAGAGACTTAGGCCAATATTGTTTATGAATATGGATGCAAAAATCCTGAGCAAAATACTAGCAAACCCAATCCAGCATCCTACTAAGAGGATTATGCATCATGACCAAGTGCGATTTATCTCAAGAATGCAAGGGTGGTTCAAACACAAAATTCAATCAATATTATATGCCATATTAATAGAATGAAGGAAAAAACACATGATCATTTCAAATGATGAAAAAAAATCCAGCACCATTTCATGATAAAAAAAAAACCACTCACCAAAGTAGGAATAAAAGGAAACTTTTGAACATATTAAGTGTATGGGAAGGCGCCTGGGTGGCTCAGTTGGTTAAGTGTCTGCCTTCAGCTCAGGTCACGATCCCAGGGTCCTGGGATCGAACCCCACATTGGGCTCCCTGTTTGGCAGAAAGCCTGCTTCTCCTTGTCCCTCTGCCTGCCACTCCCCCTGCTTGTGCTCTCTCTTTCTGTCAAATAAATAAATAAAATACTTTTTAAAAAAAAGTATATGGGAAGGCCCATAGCTAACATTATATTCAATGATTTAAAACTGAAAGCTTTCCTCCTAAGATCAGGAACAAGACAAGCATATATATTTTTGCCACTTCTATTCAACATTATACTGGAAGTTCTAGCCATAGCAATTAGGTAATAAAAAGAAATAAAAAGTATCCAAATTGGAAAGGAGGAGGTAAAATGATCTCTATTTGCAGAAGACATGATCTTATACATTAAAAAATCCTCAAAAAAGAAATCCTAAAGCATCCACGAAAGCACTAGAGCTAATAAATTAATTCAGCAAAATAACAGAATACCAGATAAATACACAAAAATCAGTTGTAGTTCTACATACTAGCAATGAACAATCTGAAAATGAAATTAGTAAAATAACCCCATTTACAATAATATGAAAAATAATAAAATACTTTGGAATAAATGTAACCAAGGAGATTTTCAAGTATATACTGAAAACTACAAAATATTATTGAAAGAAATCGAAGAAGACCTAAATAAGTGGATAGATATACCTTGTTCATGGATTGAAAGACTTGCATTGTTTGTTGTTGTTTTTTTTTAAAGATTTTATTTATTTATTTGAGAGAGAGAACGAGCACATGAGAAGGGGGAGGGTCAGAGGGAGAAGCAGACTCTCCACTGAGCAGGGAGTCCGATGCGGGACTCGATCCTGGGACTCCAGGATCATGACCTGAGTCGAAGGCAGTCGCTTAACCAACTGAGCCACCCAGGCGCCCCAACTTGCATTGTTAATATGGCAATTATTACTCAAAGCAATCTTCAATTTCAATGCAATCCACTTAATGTGGGCTCGAAGTCATGACCCTGAGATCCAAGAGTCAAATATTCTACCGACTGAGCCAGCGAGGTGCCCCTATTCTTTATTTTTTTGTTATTTTTCTTCCTCTCTTTTGGTTTAAGACACCTGATACCTCTTGAGCACAATCCCTATAAGGCCCTATTCTTAATATTGTTCTTTTTATCTTTTTTTTTCTTTTTTTTGAGAGAGAGAGAGAGAGTGTGTGTGTGTGTGTGCACGCGTGCACATGCACAAACGAACGGGAGGAGAGGCAGAGGGAGAGAGAGAGAGAGTCTTAAGCAGGCGCCATGGCCAGCAAAGAGCCTGATGCATGGCTGGATCTCATGACCCTGAGATCATGACCTGAACCGAAATCAAGAATTGGACACTTAACTGACTGAGCCACCCAGGCACCCCAGTTCTTTTCATCTCTAGTCATTGGTATTGAGTCTAATACCTAGTGTGATTTTTTATGAGTTAGCTAAAACATATAATAAAACCAGCTGCTATGTTTGTATCCACTTTCCTTTGAGGGCCACCTCAAAGGCCACCTTTGAGTTCCCACCAGTGTCTTTCCTTGTAAAAATTCAGTTGATTTCCTGGTTAATTAGCTTCAATTACTAACATTCTTTTTTTTTTTTCTTTTAAGTAATCTCTACCCCCCAACATGGGGCTTGAACTCACGACCCCAAGATCAAGAATAGCATGCTCTACCGACTAGGCCAGCCAGGTGCCCAACTAACAAGTCTGTATACAGCTTACACCACAACAGGCAAAATATTCAAAAGTCTATAATCCCTATCATGTCATACTAGGAAGGGACAAAAAGTGTGTGTGTGTGTTGGGGGGGAGGGGATCTTACATGGTAAGGTAAGGAAATAGCAGCAAAGGTAATGGTAAGCTACTAAAGTCTTAGAACCCCTCTCAAAAGTTCATAAACTTGGATAGGCAATGATCAAAATAGAGCAGCTCCAGATATATTAGATTCTCAAGGTGCAATATGTACTATCTTAAAAGAAAAATGTACCCCTGAAACAAATAATACATTTTATGTTAATAAAAAAAAAGAAAGAAAAATGTACGGCTGACCCTTTAGCAACATGGGTTTGAACTGCATGGGTCCACTTATGCTTGGATTTTTTACAGTACAGTACTGTAAATGTATTTTCTCTTCCTTACAATTTTCTTTTTCTTTTTTTTTTTTAAGATTTTATTTATTTATTTAACAGAGAGAGCGCGCGCACAAGCAGGGGGAGCTGCAGGCAGAGGGAGAGGGAGAAGCTGGCTCCCCTCTGAGCAAGGAGCCCTGGGGCTTGATCCCAGGACTCTGGGATCATGACCTGAGCCAAAGGCAGATACTTAACCGACTGCGCCACCCAGGTGACCCTTCCTTATGATTTTTGTAATAACATTTTCTTTTCTCTAGCTTACTTTATTGCAAGAATACAATATACAATACATATAACATACAAAATATGTGTTAAATGTTTATGTTGTTGGTAAGCTATTAGTAGTTAAGTTTTGGGGGAGTCAAAAGTTATACATGGATTTTTGACTGTGCAGGGAGTTTGGCACCCTTAAGCCCCGCCTTGTTCAGCGTCTACTATACTTAGATCCCTACAGACTTCTCTGAAATCGTTAGTATTTTTTTTTTTAAGATTTTATTTATTTATTTGACAGAGAGAGACACAGCGAGAGAGGGAACACAAGCAGGGGGAGTGGGAGAGGGAGAAGCAAGCTTCCCTCTGAGCAGGGAGCCTGATGTGGGACTCGATCCCAGGACCCTGGGATCACGACCTGAGCTGAAGGCAGTCGCTTAACCAACTATGCCACCCAGGCGCCCTGAAATCGTTAGTATTACTAAACTATTCCAGGAAACAAATAAATTAGGAGATCAGGTACTTTGGCTGATTTTCCTGTACGTGTAAATACTGCCATACAGTCATTGTCTCTTCAGATGATTCAACAGCTCATCTTCCAACAAAAGGAACGTGAAGTACGGACTTGCGTTCAACAACAGATGATGTTCTCCAAACAACCTTCCAATGAATGGAATCTTGACAGTGGATCTGAACTTCAGAGAACAATATATCCTGCAGGCTGACTTCATCTGCCCCCTGCTAAAATGGGGAAGTGAGAAAGGAAAAAGATAACCCCGCAAGTGGATAGCTAGGCTGTAGTGTTCCTAACCAATCACCAGCTACCCTCACAGGATATAAATAATAATCAGACAAAGCCATTCTGTGACTTTAGTGGAACAAAGCAGAGTGGAGGCCACTTTGAAACCACAGAAATTGCTAACATCTTCCTCTTGTAACGAACAAACTGATTACAGGTCCTTTACCACCGATAGCTCTAACCCCACCTTAATCCTTTGGTATTGTAGATACAAATTACCAAAGATCTACCCACTCACCAAATTGCCCCTGCTTCCTGACAGCACCCCCACTTTCCCTAAAACCACCACAGAATCAGCCAACACAAGCTCAAGCCTTCTAATAAGCCCTTCCCAATTCTTCCTTAAAGACACACCCACAGTTTCTCTGACGAGTGTTCTTTCCTGTTGCAGCAAATTAAATAAACCTAAATTTAGCGGGTGTCTGGCTGGCTTAGTTGGGAGATCACACCACTCTTGATCTCGGGGTCCTGAGCGTGAGCCCCATGTTGGGTGTAGAGATTACTTTAAAAAAAAAAAAAAGGAAAAAGAAAAAGTTACCAACCCCCTCCTCCCAACTTTAACTTCAGGTAGTTCTTATGGTCTTTCAGCTGGTGAGCTCTAATATAGGATATACATCAAACTGTGAATTAATGGTTAGCTCTATGGGTAAGAAAACAGGTAATTTCTTCTTTACAATGTATATATTTCAGTATGGGTTGAGTTTTTGACCACAGGCATGGATCGAGAAAAAGAAGAAATATATTTGATTGGGGCCAGAGAAGGACCTCCACTGGTTTCCCTTGCCAATAAGAAAAAGATCATATCCTTAGTACGTGTACAAAGTTCAGATTAATTGAGTCCACTATTCCCAGAAGCTCCCTTGCTCACAGCTTCCCTATGTTCTTGAGCCTCTAGCAGTGCTAAATTTATTTCCCAAACCCTATGCAATTCCATTTTCCACTATCCATTTAAACATGCAAACAATATCCTTCCTGCAACTGCCTGCCTTTTCCCCAATAAAGAACTTCCTTTTAAAAATTGAATCAACAGGTGAATGTACACACAAAAGGCAGTATATACATACAATGGGATGTTGTTCACCAATAAAAAGAAATTAAATCCTGATACGTGTTACAACACAGGTGAACTTTGGAAACCCTTTGCTAAGTGAAATAAGCCAGATGCAAAAGGACAAATACTGTCTGATTCCACTTAGAGTAGGTACCTAGAGTAGGCAAATCCATAGAGACAAAAAGAATAGAAGTTAGGGTGCCTGGGTGGCTCAGTTGGTTAAGCGACTGCCTTCGGCTCAGGTCATGATCCTGGAGTCCCGGGATCGAGTCCCACATCGGGCTCCCTGCTCGGCAGGGAGTCTGCTTCTCTCTCTGAACCTCCCTCCTCTCATGCTCTCTATCTCATTCTCTCTCTCAAATAAATAAATAAATAAAAAAATCTTACAAAAAAAAAAAAAAAGAATAGAAGTTACCAGGGGCTGGGCAGAGGAAGGAATGGGGAGTTACTGTCTAATGGGTACAGAATTTCTGTTTGGGATGATTAAAAAGCTCAGGAAATAGTGGTGATAGTTGCATAATATTGTAAATATACATGACGCCATGAATTATACCCTAAGAAATGGTTAAAGTGGTAAATTTTATGGGGCGCCTGGGTGGCTCAGTCAGTTAAGCATCTGACTCTTGATTTTGGCTCAGGTCATGATCCCAGCCAGGGTCATGGGATTGAGCCCCCTACCCCTGAGTCTGGCTCCATGCTCAGTGCAGAGTCAGCTTGAGATTCTCTCTCTCCCTCTGCACCCCCCCCTTGTACAAGCACTCTCTCTCTAAATAAATAAATAAAATATTTTTTAAAATGGTGAATTTTATATAATGCATATTTTACCATAAGAAAAGAAGAAAACTTGATTTGAATTTTTATTATACAAAATTTCAGGAACATACAAAAATTAAGAGAGAAATATAATGAACCTCCATGTACCCATCAACAGTTTCAACAATTATGAACTCCTGGCCAAACTTCCACCCTTTCTCATACCCTTCCCCCACCACACACACACTGAATTATTTTGCAGCAAATTCCAGACATTAGATTATTTCATAATAATATATAAAAATATATTTATTGATATAGTAATATATCAATAAATATTTTAGACTGTTCCTCTAACTTATTTCTTTACCAAGGAATTCCTATTCTTCCCTCAAAACCTAGCTCAGATATTATCTCCTCTGTAAAGCCTTTCTCCATGTCTCCTAGAGCGAGCAAGACCCATTCCCCCTCCTGTGTGTCTATGACTCTTTGCCCTTCCCTCTACAACAGGGTTTCTCAACACTGGCACTATGGATATTTTGAGACAGATAATCTTTTGATGTGGGGGCTGTCCTATACATTATAGGATGCTTAGCAGCATCCATGGCCTCTCCTTCTAGATACGAGTAGCACCCCCTCCCCTTTGTGACAACCAAAAATGTTTCCATACATGGCCAAAAGTCCCATGGGGGCAACTTTGCCCCCAGTGAGAACAACTTCTTCAGAACTGCCCTTAAGAACTACATTGCCTATGTTTGTTTTCATACATGTCTTCACTTCTAAACTGTGAAATCCTGAAGAACATAGAGAGCTTCTTTTTCATCTTAGGGTAGCCAGTGTCTGATTCTTTTTTTTTTTTTTTTAAGATTTATTTATTTATATTAGAGAGGGAGAGAGAGAGAGAGTGCAGGGGGAGGTAGAAGGAGAGGGAGAGAGAGAATCTCAAGCAGACCGTGCATTGAGCACGGAGCCCATCACCAGGGCTCAATCTCACTACACTGAGATCATGACCTAAGCCGAAACCAAGACTCAGACACTTAACCGACCACGTCACCCAGGGGCCCTGCCAGTGTTGGATTCTTCCTGGGAATGTCATAGGAAGAAAGCTGGGAAGCCACGTGAGCTTTGGCAGATCTTCACAGAACCTCACAAAAATCTGAGGCCATTAGGTCCAGGCTTCTGTTCAGCGCCTTAGTTACTTCTACAATATCCTAGCCCATTATTCCTCCAGCTTCTGTCGAGAAGTCAAATTATTGGGATTCATCTTCCTGCAGAGGGGCTCATTTTGTTAAAATTCTTATGGTGAGTGAAACCTTGCTCACTATGTTACTTTATGTATTGTCCCAACTCTGCCCTCCGAAATCTTTTAAAATGAGCCTAATTTCAGTCAGTTTCATATGACAGCCCTTCAGGTATATGAAGACCACCATTATATTCATTCATCAAATCATTCAAAAATACACATACTTGAACAAGAAAAGAGCCTCATTTCCTTGAAACCATCCCCCAAAATCACCTAATAAAAATCTGAATGTGGGGCGCCTGGGTGGCTCAGTTGGTTAAGCGACTGCCTTCGACTCAGGTCATGATCCTGGAGTCCCAGGATCGAGTCCCGCATCGGGCTCCCTGCTCGGCGGGGAGTCTGCTTCTCCCTCTGACCCTCCCGACCCTCCCCCCTCTCATGTGCTCTCTGTCTCTCTCATTCTGTCTCAAATAAATAAAAAAATTAAAAAAAAAATCTGAATGTGTTAAGTCCTTCTTAACATCCCTTAACTGAACCGCTCCATGGTTCCCCCTAGTGTACAATCTCCCTCATTGCAATAGGCAAAAACCTAACTTGAACTACTGGCGTGTTCCTCCTGGTCTTTGACTGCAGAACATTGATAGACGGAACACCTAATAGGAGCCAGGCACCGGGAATACAGCAATGAATGAAACAGACAAAAAACCTCTGCCCCTCATAGAGCTCACATGGAGGTAAAGAATGAATCATGTATGTAAGTGTAAATACACGGCATGCTGGGGTAAGTGCCATGAGCAAAAGTAATTGGTTGGGGGTGGTGGTGGTAGTGTGTGTTAGAATTTTAATTAATTGGGCGCCTGGGTGGCTCAGTTGGTTAGGCGACTGCCTTCGGCTCAGGTCATGATCCTGGAGTCCCTGGATGGAGTCCCTGGATCGAGTCCCGCATCGGGCTCCCTGCTTGGCGGGGGGTCTGCTTCTCCCTCTGACCCTCCCCCCTCTCATGTGCTCTCTCTCTCATTCTCTCTCAAATAAATAAATAAAATCTTAAAAAATTTTAATTAATTAACTAATTAATTAATACATTAATTATTCAAATAAACACAAAGACATCACAATAAATAATTTAATAAATTTAAATAAATATAAATATAAATTTGTTTATATTATTTATTTATTTATGTTAGAATTTTTAAATTGCTCAGCCAGGGAAAGCCTTAATAAGATGATATTTTGAAATCTGAAGGAAAGGAAGCATGAATGAGTCAGGCAGCTATTTCAGAGTGTTCCCAGCAGAGGGAATAGCAAATGCAGAGGCCCTAGGACAGGAGCGTGCCTCGTGTGGCTCTAGAAACAGCAAGAACTCCTGTGGCTGGAGGCAGTGATCAGAGAGCAGCGTAATAGGAGGCAGAGAGTAAGCTGATGTCCAGGGAGCTAAGAACGAGCATACAGCGCCTTGTAGACCATTGCAGGGACTTCGGCTTTTACCCCGAGATGGAAAATTGCTGGAAAATGTTGAGCAGAAAAATGACATGATCTTACTTACATTTTAATGAAAAAAAAAAAAAAGAAAAAACCACCCCACTCTACCTGCTGTGTTGAGGAGAGGCTGGGTGAGGGGTGGGGGCAAGCAGGGAGACTACGCACTTGTTATAACCCAGTGAGAGAAGGTGAAGACTGAACTCAGGGCACACCAGTATTTAGAAGTTGGGAAATGGAGAAGAAATAAGCTAAACATATCCAAAGGAATAGCCATTGAGAGAGTAGGAAACTGGTAGTGTGGAATCCTAGAAACCCTGAATAATGCCTTTGAAAGAGGGAATGATCAAATGTCAAATGTTGCTAATAGACCAAGAGGAGGATGAGAATTGACTCTTAGATTAGCAATATCTTCCTGGGGACTTTTCTTTTCATGAGAATATCTGATTCCATTATCCCACCCTTTTTTGGGGGGTAAAATATCACTTTTTTTTTTAAAGTAAGCTCTACACCCAACATGGGGCTTGAACTCACGACCCCGAGATCAAGAGTCACATGCTCCACTGAATGAGCCAGCCAGGTGCCCCAAAATATCACTTTCTAATACACTATGTATACGTTATCTATTTATCTTATTGTCTGTCTATTCTTACTAGAATAAAAGTTTTATTAGGGTGGGGATTTTCATCTGTTTTTCTAATTAACAAAATACTGTGTTGAACAGCATCTGGTCATAGCAGGAGCTCAATAAATATTTGTTGAATGAATGGTTTTCAGATCCATCGCTACGTTGGTCTGACATTTATGAACATGCTTGTTTGGCAATGTTTCTCTAGAACTATTAGAGTATGTTCTAGGCAAGTCCTAAAATACTAGGCTGGTTCTCCTTTGTTCAAAGCCTGGCATTTTATGGTGCAGCCCAGCAAGCTCAGCCTGTTTGGCAGGCAATTACCTTGCTATTTCATGCCTCCCTATCCAGCACCATGTACATCCACTAAACTGAAGAAACAAAAAGTCCACAACCAGCCAACTTCATGGAGCTCAGGATGTGTGCCTCATCTCTAATAATGGAATCACATGTTTCAAAGGAAATGGAGAAAAAAAGACATTGGATATGAGATTGGGAAATCTCTTTTAAGATAGGGGTGCCCATCCTGAAACTCCCAAATTTTTCAGCTTTAGAGGCTAATAGGAGTTTAAGTCTGTGGCATTAAGTAGCACTGAGACTTTCATCAAACCAATGAATTTAACTGAACTTCATCTTCTTCATCTGTGACTTGTAACTCACCAGGTCTATATTGCAGACTTGTCATAAGGATTCAGAGAATTATGTATAAGCCTATAACAGACTTTGATAAATGCTATCATTTTTACTTCATAACCCCTTCCCATTTGCCAAGTGTTTTCAGCTATGATAAAGTGGAAGTAGAGAGCTTATTTTTTTATGGTAACACCATACAGTAAAAAAAAAGGATATGGGGCACCTGGGTGGCTCAGTTGGTTGAGCGACTGCCTTCGGCTCAGGTCATGATCCTGGAGTCCCGGGATCGAGTCCCGCATCGGGCTCCCTGCTCAGCGGGGAGTCTGCTTCTCCCTCTGACCCTCCCCCCTCTCATGTGCTTTCTCTCTCTCTCTCTCTTATTCTCTCTCTCAAATAAATAAATAAAATCTTTAAAAAAAAAAGGATATGTGTCCTTTTGTGTTTGGCTCATTTCAGTTTGCATAATGTTTTCATTATGGTTCATCATGTTGTAGACAATTATATTTTTGAGTTGTATTTTTTCTCATGAGCGAGAAATTTTGCAATATATAATTTTTTTAAAGATTTTATTTATTTATTCATGAGAGACAGAGAGAGAGAGAGAAGCAGAGGGAGAAGCAGGCTCCCAAGGAGCAGGGAGTCCGATGCGGGACTCGATCCCAGGACCCTAGGATCATGACCTGAGCCGAAGGCAGGCGCTTAACCATCTGAGCCACCCAGGTGCCCC